TGCTTGAAAAACTCCTACTTGAAAGGAAGGAAGTAGGAGACTGATGAAATGGACCAGGTAGACTTTGACCCAAATCCAGAAAGACAGCACCATTACAATGGAGAAGCATATGAGGATGATGACCATCATCCTAGGGATGGTGTTCAGTGTTAGACCTCTTACTGGGGCCAATGAATAACACTCACTGCTGGCATTTTATAGGCAGTAGTGAGTGAGTGGAGGACTATAATCACAATATGCTCACTACCTGCTATTGTTTTTGTTTTAATACTCAACTATAGTAGTGTTTTAAAAGTTAAATGAAGAATAAACTCAAATATAGAAGCTCAAAAATAAATAAGTAAATATATAAAGTGCCCAGTCTTGCAAAAAGGGAGAAATTCACTTAAAATAATTTGGGCAAAATCCTCACACAGGATTCTCCCACACTGCTTCGCTTTCTTTCACTTTCAAGAATTCTACCAATTAGGGCTGGCTGAGTGGCGCATTGGTTAAGAACCGGCTTAGGACGCCAGCTCTGGGCAGCAGGGCCCTGTTTCGGATCCCACATGAGGCCCAGTGACACTGCCCTCTACAACTAAGATGGTGAACAACAGCTTGACCTGGAGCTGGGCTGCCATGAATCGCCGTCGCTGGTGTAGGCTGCAGCCCCTGCTGCAGTGGGCTGCCATAAACTACCGTGTGTGGCCAGCAGCCACTGTGAGCGGCCCGCAGATGGTGTGAGCTGCCAAGAGCCAACGTGAGTGGCCGTCCAGAGGCTGGCAACTGATCTGCCTCACCCAGGAAGAGTGCAATGATAATACCAACATGGGCCAGTGAAGCAACGTCCTCCATAACTAGACTGAAGAACAAAAGGACAGCAACTTGTCTGTTCCCCTCCCCCCAATTCCCCAATGCTGTTCCCATCCTCCCAATTCCCCAATAGAATCTTTAAAAAAGAAAAAAAAAAGAATTCTACCAATTAGAAGTTCATTTGCATTAACTATACTCTTCATGGGGGAAATACCCTTGGCATGTTGGAGTATGTGGGCAATCCACATGCTCAATCAGAACACCTTTCTCCTGAGACTTACGTGAGGTCAATCAGCAAAGGAGGTAAAGTTCCAATATCTACGTGGGGCAGAATTGAGAGGTGAGTGGTTCTGGCATGCTGAAGGCCTCCACTGAACAGTGGCACAAAAGGAAGAGGAAAAAAGAAATGGGAAGGTACCAGAGATAAACATCCCCCATCCTGAAACTGCCTACTACACGGCTTGCGGGGCTAAGTGGTATCTCTGCCTGCTTTTGTGTGCACACATAAAGCATGAGGACTTAGGGTGACTGCCAAGGTACAGTTCTCCATGGAACTCAACATCTCCCAACCATAGCTACATGATCTGCTCTTTTATGCCATCAGCAGATTTTTTTTTAAATTTTATTGGGGAATTGGGGGGAGGGGAACAGCATTGAGGAATCGGGGAAGGGAAACAGACAAGTTGCTGTCCTTTTGTTCTTCAGTCTAGTTATGGAGGACGTTGCTTCACTGGCCAATGTTGGTATTATCATTGTGCTCTTCCTGGGTTAGGCAGTCATTTGCCGGCCATTGGAGAGCAGCTCACAACAGCTCACCCCCGCTGTCGGCCAGCCCTCACGGAGCCCAGCTCCAGGTCAAGCTGTTGTTCACCATCTTAGCTGTAGAGGGCGCAGCATCACTGGCCCTCATGTGGGATCCGAACCGGGGCCCTGCTACTCAGAGCTGGCGCTCCCAAGCCAACTCTTAACCAACACACTACTTGGCTGGGCCCATCAGCAGATTTTTTAAAAAAGGCATTCCTTACCCCAAAATAAAAAAGTAACATCTATATGATTTGTGAACCATGCTTATGACTAAAGCATTACATATTCCTAAAATTTATCATTCTTTCTTTAAGATGGTCCCTTATACTGATATTCTTTAGTAGCTCATTATATAAGTTTTTTTTTATACATCCAGTTATATACAGCAAATGCTTGCAATATAAAAATATTTACAAAGGATGGTTCTTCCCTTTAAATTCCTCCCTCTCACATTTAGTTATAACAAGAAATCAATAATTAAGCAAAGCATCAATATGAAAATGAAAGGAAAACTACCATTATTTTCTTTATTTTACTGGGAAGGTAAAATTCCCTGCTTTGTCCATCACTATTATTTTCTCTGTGAACTCTTTGAAAAGAGGAGGTTTACAATGTTGATAATGACAATTACTTATTGAACTTAAATCCTTTTATTTGAATACTAAGAGAGGTAAAAAAAAAAACTAGAGTGCTGTAGCTTAAACTTGCTATTACTTGAGCACATCTAATCTTCAGATCTTGTTTTCTAAATACCTTTCCCCACCAAAAGGAACCATATCTCCTAGGATAAGAAACTAATTCCATGTCTGAGGCAGGAAAGTACAAGGTAAACCTGAAACATCTTGTGCCCAAAAGCAAAGATGTCTCAGAATTAATGGAATCATGTCAAAAGGACACAGGAGCCAGTTTGAAGACACTCACTGGTCAAATTTGGGAGAATATGAAAAACAAAAAGAATAATTACAGTAATTAATAACATACTGACTAAATAAAAATTCATAAGCCCATGGTGATGGGGGGGGCAGAAGAAGGAAAGAAAGCTCTTCTTTAGAGAAGAATGCAAGCTAATAGATGTATAAGATAAAATTAGAAAATCACCACTTCACCACCTCCACTATAACTGATTCAAGCATTGCTAATGGATCCTATAATAAAGCCTAGGTAAAAGGCTATGGAAGAACAAGATATTCCCAAGATATCAAACTATCACCCCATAGATTTATTTACTAGTTTACAGAAGAAATAAAAAAGGTGCCTTACAATAGAAAGATTTAGAGATCACCATCAAGGCATCAAACTCAGCTTCACTCAGGTAGAACCACTTGACACCATGAAAGATCAGCCTCCCGATAGGATGTAGTAGAAAGAAGAGAACCTCAGCTATGATTAGATAATTACAAATTCAGTCCTCAGTGTCACAAGTTACATTTTCAGTACTCAATAGCCATGTACGGCTAGTGGCTACTGTATCGGACAGCATCAGTATAGAGAACATTTCCATCACTACAGCAAGTTCTACTGGGCAGTGCTCGTCTAGACTGAATTTCCAGTTTACAGGAAATATAGGGGATGCTATACAGATTGAGTTACATCATGAGGAGATAAGGTTCTTTGGAAAAGACAATTATGCTGGGAAAAATAGAAGGCAGCGGGAAAAGAGGAAGACTAAATATGAGATAGACTAAATCCATAAAAGACATAGGCATGAGTCTACAGGGGCTGAGCAGGGCTGTTGAGGGCAGGACACCACGGATATCACTCATTCATAGGGTCACCAGGAGTTGGAGCCAACGTAACACACACATACAAGTTAAATGATACTTCAAAGAAATAACCGCTTTAATTCAGAATGTGAGTCATGCTAAAAGCCTGCCTTCTTCAAAAAAGCCAATGTCATGAAAAAAAAAAAAGTGGTGGGAGACTAAATTAGATTAAGAGACCAAAAAAGACACAAAAACAAAACGTAATGTGTGAACTGTAGTGGGCTCCTAGTCTAGAAAAATAATAAGACTATTGTGGGAAACTGGGGAAATTTAAGTATCAGCTAGGTATTAAGTGATTTTATGGAATCATTACTAATTTTCTTAGGTGTGGTAATGGTAATGGTATTATGATTATGTATGAGACCATCTTTGTTCTTAAAAAATCCACACTCAAGTATTCAGGAGAGAAGTGTCATGGTGTGTCTGCAGCATACTTTAAAAAATACACAGACACACCCCAAATATGGCAAACTATTTACAACTACTGCATCTGGGTAGAGAGTATATGAGTTGTCTTAGTCCATTCAGGCTGCTATGACAAAACACCACTGACTGGTGACTTATAAACAACAGAAATGTATTGCTTACAGTTCTGGAGGCTGGAAAGTCCAAGATCAAGGCACCAGCACAGTTGTTTTCTGGTGAGGACCCTCTACCTAGTTCAGAGCCACGTCCTTCCTGCTGTGTCTGCACATGGTGGAAGTGGCCAGGGAGCTCTCTAGGGCCTCTTTCATAAGGCACTAATCTAATTTATGAGAGTTCCACCCTCATGACTTAAGTGCCCCTCAAAGGCCCCCCTACTTACTTTTAGGGGTTGGGATTTCAACATATGAATTGGGGGGGGGGGCAGAATGCAAATATTCAGACCATAACATGAATGTTTGTTAGAATAATTCTTTTAATTTTTCTGTGTACTTTAAATTTTTGCAGTAAAAGGATGGGGAGAAAATTGCTACAGAAAAAATAAAGTTAGGAATGTACCGAAGCCACTTCTCCTATAACCCATATTCAGTTGAGTTAATGGTGGCAACAACCTCTGACCAGCACAAATGAGACAAAAAAGGCCTAGCCTTCCAAACTTGGAATAATTTGTAGAGCAGAAAGTTGCCAAGCATCTTAAGAGAATGGGTTGCCAGAATCAGAGGGTTACTAAGAACCACTGCTCTGGGACACATAGTAGAGGAGCATGAAGGTGAACTCCTCAAGGCCCATTCTATCCCCTCCGTCTTCCCCAACACACTGCCTAACCAGAACAGAGGAGTACAGACCACAGAAAAATAATCATTTGAAGAAGGAAGCAATCTCTAGAGGGAACTCTAATCCTGCTCAAATTCAACCATGAGACCAAAAAATACCATGTGCCAAGTAGTAGCAGGTGTTGTGCCTGTTTTAAGTTGACAATTTGTGTAATATAACGAAGTATAGATCTTCTATTAATTCCTCAACTAAAGTAGAAATCTGAGAAAATGCAAATTCAAGTTATCTAATCAAAATTTGTCCTTATGTTACTTCATAAAGAAAACTGACAATCTTATAGATGAACAACTGAACATAGTGACTGCCACTGATCTGAAACTTACTGCTCATTATTTCTAATTTTAGCAAAAATGGACAAAAAAATAGTACAGAACAAGATATCACCTTCAGTTCTTTAAGCTTCTCTGTATTTGTGGTAAAGCGTCCAACATGAGCTTGGACATGCTCAAGCTGCTTTAAATATTCTTGATTTCGAGTATGAGCCTTCTTTTCTGATTCACATATTTCCTTCAGGTATTTCTTTAGTTTTACATACTTCAGCTTAACTCTAGAAAAATAAAAGCAGATTTTTAAACAATGGAGTCAGATTTTGATGATCTAAGAAGAAGAATCTTCTTTAACAAAATTGTTAGTGAGACAACATATTCTAAGATATTTTACCCAAACACTGAAACCTAAAGGACAGAATGCATATGCATTTTTTTAGAGAGGAAATTAATGCAACATCACTGAGGAATCACATCTAGGTATAATTCTCCTGAGAGAAACATATACAAGACCACATTATAACATTCACACAGTAAAGATTTATACGGATTTCTTTCTCAAAATTAAATGTGATTCTAAGAGCAGTGTCTATATGGCCATGTTCAGAGAATATCCCCCTAGCATTCTTGTAAATGATAGACAATCTCAAAACTTCCTGCTCTTATGGAAACAGAATTAAACAGTAAATCAAAGTCCATAAACATTAAGAATATTTGAAATTTAAAATTAAAAAAAACTCTCATTTAAATATAATTTAAAATTTTTGTTAGAAACTGCAACAACATATTATATTATTAAAATATTTTATAATAACATATAGACTATAACTCTACTTAAATTGTGAAAAAAAAAACTTTAGAGACTCATCCAAAGTGTAATATCAAAAGATACACTGGTTGGCTCAAGATGTGCAACCCACTCTTCTCATAGAACCAACTTTGCTAATTCTAGCTCTTTCTTCTTCACAAGCATGTAAGTCATAAAAGAGTACCTGGTATATAGCATTTCTTTTGTTGGTTCAATAAATTATTCGCTTTTTTTATCAAGCAAAATAAGTTGAAAACCACAAAAATGTTCACCCTCAAAAACAGATTTGCAATGATGTTAGAGACGTTAAAAATTAATCTGCAATGGATCTTAACCCCATACCCCAATAATTAAAAAAAACTTACTGTGCCAATAATTCTGTGCTTTGATCTTGGTTGGTTGTCCCCATTTTTCCTTATGAACCAAAAACATAGGACTAGTTTTACTGTTGCCCATGTCTGCCATTTTCGACATAAGTGACAGTAATGAGGTGGAACCTAACATACTATCTTCCACACACAGGTACTTGGTGAAGCTGCTGGTGGTGGCCAGTATCCACCTGAATAAGTACAATAGTAGCCATGCCTTCTCAAACCAAAGTCTAGTTTCATTCCTGCCCCTATATTAACCTTCAAGGCTGATCAAATAAGTAGGTCATCCATCCAATCCATGCAATCATTAATATATTCAGTGTTCTGAATATGAAAGCCACTCAGCTAGGGTGAACAGAGAAAACAAAAAATGAGATAAGCAGAATGTAGTGTGATGAATGCTATGAGGGAAACTGCAAGGGACTCTGACAGACTAGGCAACCTGAACTAGTTGAAGGGGACAGGGAGGCCTTCCCAGTAGAAATTATTTTTCAGCGGAGACAAGAAAGTTGGGTAAGAATTAACCCAAAACTGGCAAAAGCAAGAGTGGAAAATTGAGGGCAAAACACTCAGGCAGAGTAAGTAGCATGTTGGAAAGCTCAAGGGCAATAAATAAAAAGAATAACTGTAATATTGACAAAAATAATAAATTATTGACTCTTACTCTGAGTCATATGCTGTGTTATGACTACTAAATTCTCATAACTATCATTATACCCAGGTGAAGAGATGGAGACACAGAATGTTGAAGTATTGTCCCAAGGTCACATGGCTAAGAGCTGGTGGGGCTCAGCTTGAACCAAGGCACTTGGCAATAGAACCTACTAGCTTACACTATACTACAAAAGATCTTGTGATGCTTCAGAAATGGAAGTTTTAGTCCATGTAAACTTTTAGGGGGAAGCTGACAAAAGATGGCGATGATGAAAATTAAAAAGGGGCAGATGATGGCGGGTCTGGTAAGCCCTTGTACCAGATACTTCTCATGCCCTTCCCACACACATCCTCCGGGCTCAACTTTCCTTCTACCAGCCACAGCAGCAACAACCTGGTAACATCTGGTTCAACTGTGCCTATTATCTTGCTTTTCCAGGGCTACTTTTCTGAGTTTGTCATGTGGAAAGTCTGGATATGAGAATGAATTAACACCTCCTGGAATGGCCCTGACCAATGGAGATCAGGATCCAATAGGTAAACAGCCCTCTCTTCCTTCCCTTTAGTGGACAATTGTGAGGAGCAGAGAGGTGGTCTCCACTGTTCCACTGAAGGTCCAGAGGGATCAAGTCCTAGGTTCCCACAGCAGTGAACAGCTCCTGCTTCATTCTTCTCAGCCCTGCTCTCCAGTTTTAAGCTGACCACTTTCTAAAATAAACTACCACCTACATAAAATAAAATAAACCTAGCACATACACACAAACCTTGTCTCAGACTCTGCCTTCTGGGAAAATCAGGTTGAGGTAGTCATGTTAGACAGTATGGATTTGACCCCACAGGCAGTCAAAGAAAGCATATTTTTAGTAAATCATACCCTCTAACAGGAAACAAGACGCTGAGAGAGAGGAACAAACTCAGAAAACAGACAGCTTGGTAAAGGTTCCATTCTTCTCTCACCACCATTATGCCAGGAAGTTGTACAAGAACAAGCTGCAGAAAATTCTATACTCTGTCTTCTGCCCCTTTAGCTGTGGGTTAGAAAAATGTCAACTGCCACAGATGCTGTAAGACTTGGGCACACTTCTGAGGCAATGGCATCCATGACACTGCTATGTCTTCCATCACCTCGTTGGCTCTCCGTGTTTCTTCTAAAGCTACTAGAGATATACGAGGTGTGATCAAACAATATGGTGAATGTTTAAATTAAAAAAATAATTATTACAGTAAAAGACACATTGCCATTAATACCCCTCAAAATACTCCCCCTCACTTCAAACACACTTATCATTCCTGCCACTTTCTGAAGCAGTTCTGTAAGTCCTCTTTCATGAGTGTCTTTAGCTGAGCTGTCATGGCTACCTCAATGTCCTGAACCTATTCAAAATGTTCACCTTTCATGGTCACTTTGACTTTGGGGAAGAGCTAGAAGCCGCATGGTGCCAGATCATTACAGACACACTGTAATGTTTTTACTTGACAAAAATTGCCATACCAGAAGTGATATGTGATGGAAAGGAGCCTTTCCATTGTGATTACAAAATACATTGAATGCTGCTGCCTAGTGCCATCCAACAGAAAGGCAGGAATCTTCAATACGCGAAGCGGTGCATTGAACCTTAGTAATAGTGTGTGACAAGTTTCAACTTGTTCAGTGCAGTCATTCAGGTGTGAGCTATGGTTAAGAGAAGGTGTGTTTCAAAGTGTGCTGTAAATCATGGATCACAAACAATGCATTAACATGAAATGAGCCAATGGTTTCATCTTCGATCATGACAACATTCCGTGTCACACATCATTTCTGGTATACAGCATTTTCTGTGAAATACAAACATTATGGTGTGTCCTCACCCACCTTATTCAACAGATCTGGCACCTTGCGACTTCCAGCTCTTCCCCAAAGTAAAAAATGACCACGAAACCTAATGGTTTTGAATAAATTCAGGACATTGAGGCCACCATCACAGCGCAACTAAAGACACTCACAAAAGACTTCCAGAACTGAGGGGCTGGCCGAGTGGCTCAGTTGGTTAAGAGCTCGCTCAAGAGTTTGATCTCTGAGCAACAGCAGTTCGAGTCCAGCCCAAGCTGAGCTGCCAACAGGTAGCAGGATGGCTCAGCTTAAAAAAAAAAATTAAAAAAAAAAAACTTCCAGAACTGCTTCAAAAAGTGATGAGAACAATGGGATAAGTGTGTTTGAAGTGAGGAGGGGTATTTTGAGGGCGATTAATAGTAATTTGTCTTTTACTCTAATACATTTTTCTTTAAACATTCACCATATTGTTTGATCACACTTCGTATGGCTGTCTTCCCTGACTACTACCTTTGAAAGTACACTAAATCTTAAAACCAAACAATAATTTTGAAGGTGAGGAAATAAATGGTCTTGATGGGTGATTTGGTTTTATACTATTCTTGGCTTCTCTCTCTTTTGAATAAAATGTTTTCATTTTTCCTTTTTTTTTTAAATTAAAGTTTATTGGGGGTGACAATTGTTAGCAAAGTTACATGATTTCAGCTGTACATTTCTGTAATACATCATCCATATATCACATTGTATGTTCACCATCCAGAGTCAGTTCTCTTCCCAACACCATATATTTGGCCCCCTTTACCCTCATCTACCATCCCCTTCCCCCACTCTGATAACCACTAAACTATTGTCTATGAGTTTTGTTTCTTCACTTGTTTGTCTTGTTCTTTTGCTGTTTTCAGTTTTATATACCACATATAAGTGAAATAATATGGTTCTCTATTTTATCTGTCTGATTTATTTCACTTAGCATAATAATCTCAAGATCCATTCATGTTGTCACAAATGGCATTATTTCATCTTTTCTTGTGGTAGAATAGTATTCCATTGTGTATATATACCACATATTCTTTATCTAATCATCTATCAAAGGACACTTTGGTTGTTTCCGTGTCTTGGCCACTGTAAATAAAGCTGCAATGAACATTGGAGGTCATATATCTTTACGGATAAATGTTTTCAGATTTTTAGATACCCAAGAGAGGGATTACTGAGTATATGGTAATTCTATTTTTAATTTTTTGAGGAACCTCCACACTGCCTTCCATAGTAGCTGCACCAACCTGCATTACCACCAACAGGGTATGAGGGTTCCATTTTCTCCACAGCCTCTCCAACACTTGCTATTATTTGTCTTGTTGATGAGAGCCACCAACTGGTAGAGGTATATATCTCATTGCGGTTTTTATTTGCATTTCTCTGATGATTAGTGATGTTGAGCATTTTTTCATATTTCTATTGGCCATCTGTATGTTCTCATTGGAGAAATGTCTATTCAGGTCCTCTGCCCATTTTTTAATTGGATTGTTTGTTTTTTTGTTGTTGAGTTGTACGAGATTCTTATATATTTTGGATATTAGCTCCATATCAGAGGCATTGTTTGCAAAAATCTTCTCCCATTTGGTTGGTTGCCTCTTT